TATTATATTATTTGTACGTACTTTCATATAATAACAAATAGCAATTTATGAAAAATGTCATTTTCATAAGTAAATTTATAGCGTCAGTAAATTAATTATAGATTACGTGTATGAAAGAAATTAAAATTAATATTATCTGCTAAAACTTTTTCCCAAATTTATGTTAATGTCAAACTAATTTGGTTATTTTTCTTCCTGTTTAGTATTCATTATTTATTTAGTAGCTTAGAAAATTCCTTTTATTTGATTTTCATTCATGCAGTATAAGTACTTTTCCTAAATAATGCCAAGCGTTCGTGTACCTATACAAACAACTGTTTTGCATCAACGACTGATTGGAGATTGGTTTCTCGGTACATGATTCTTATGCATAATAATTATTCCCTGTATATGATACCTAAATCCCAAATGAGTGATGGGAATGTATTTACTGTACATTTTTGTACAACTTCATACACGTTTTAATATGAATGATCACATAGAGGGGTGAATGCATTTATGTACATGAGATGTATTGGACTTTATAGTAACTAAATTACAGATTTCTAAACGAATTCACTATTCCATACAGCAATTTATAAAAAAAGAAAATAAAATACAGTGTTATTGTCTTGACGTACGATTTTGTTTGTTAGAACAACGACAAATAAATCCACTATTTAAAAATAAAATTCATAACTGAAATCCACGGTTTAAAAATAACTATTTCTTCCAGTTCTCTCATTTCGGAAGGTAATATTCTATTATTCTTGTCAAAATATTTATAAATAATATAATTTCTTTTAAAGTATACAAATGATTGATATAATTCGTAACACAAACATCAAATTTCATCAAAGAATATAAATTTTGAATACCTTATACGAATCCTAATTTTATTTTATTCATCGTTCATTTCACGTTTCTCCATAAAAACATTCAACTGAAAGTAATAAATGTGTCTGACATACATAACTGAGCATGTTCACAAGAAAGGGGTTATGAACAAATAAGAGAAAACAAATACATTTATTAATTAACAATATCCCTTATTCTGGTTTCATAACAATACTCCAATGCACTTATCATTTGTTGTCCTGTACAGAAACCTGTTGTGGATTTACATATATGTTAATTCCACAAGTCTTATCAATTACAATGCTTTATTTTTCATGATAAGTTTTTTCGTTATAAAATATACGACACTGCATTTTAAGCTATTTTATTTTGTGCGTATTTTAATTAAACTGCAGATTTTATCCGTTTCCCTATTTTTATACACAAATGCAGAGAAACCAGAATCAATTAGAAAATTACATTTTTCATTGTAATGATTTCAGTAAATTATAATTCATATAAAACTGTATCAAATTCTATTGTGTTTATAGATATAGAAAAAGTTGAACGTAAACATATACACCTGACCCTCCATTTACGCGAAAATCCATTCCATGTGGATTCGTTTTACGCGATTGAAAATCGCGTAAATACAGTCCGTCGGTACAAGAGAAAACAAACTAGTGGAAAGAAAAGCTGGTATAAGTTTCAAAAACACATATTTATTTCACATAGCCAAACAAAAAAAATAGGAATACTGACATTTCAGAAAACAAAAAGTACATTTTAGTCAGTGTTACTAAATTGGGATCGTGTAAATTAGGACTGCGTATAAGATCTATTGCATAAACAGTGTTCTAATTTACCACGTAAATAAGAGACTCGCGTAAATCGAGGGTCAGGCGTACCCGTACGTATTTTGTTGCGACGGCCACTGAATGGTAATAAATCTTGCACACAGTAAAATTTCATTTTTATTCGCATTTCAATTTTGTTCACGTTACATGTACTGTCATATCTATGAATACAAGGGAATGTAAAAATATAATTTTATTGTGTTATACATAAACGTGTAGCATGCAAGTTCGAAGGAATTTCATAAATTTTCATGCAACGTGACACAACACTGCTTGAAATGCAGTCATGCATATCATTGATTACGTTTATCAGATATGCGGGTGAAACATATGCGCGACCACATGACACTTATCACATAAATAAACCGAATCAATATTGCTGTAATCTATTATGTTCTTACATTTATGCAGTGCCGACACGTTGTTAGGTATAAAAGACAAATTTTTATCTATTTTTGACCGACTGCAGTTCTAGTTATCTTTCGTGAGAATAGTACGGCGCCTGACAATTATTCATGGCATACAAGTGACGGATTGAGAACGTCAAAAACGATGAAAACAGCTTGAAATTCGGCCAATTGCTTTGCAACGAATATGTACGAGATGCATATACATATACAGAGCTCGCTTGCATTTTCCGTGCTTTGTAGTCAAGTTCGAGTGAAAGGACGGTAGATATGTATATATATATATAAATGCACGGACGATCATTCTTTCCGGCAAGGAACAAATAGACTCTGCTTAATTACGAACGTTACTTGCTACAACACTGAACTTTTGAAGATACCTATTTATTCATTTCAACTAAATTCTTTTTAAATTTATAGGAGATTTATATTTTTGATTAAATGTGAAATCTTACAGTAATATACTTATTATTCTTTATGTACAGGGTGTTTTATTTGTATTCCATTAAGCGATATCAACATGTCCTATCATTTTTAATTAAAAATAAGAGGACAATTTTATATACGCATAAAGTCGTAAATGCTTTTTGAGACGATTATAACAAAAACACCAAAATTATAAATAACTGCTTTTGTAATCGATCTTGTATCGAAACATTGCTGTTTACTATTAGCGTTTTATTGGAATTGCTGAACACTAGAACTATCTCACCCGTCAAAATGACAGATCTCAGTTTTGTTATTCCGTAATTAGTGATATCTGAAAAGTGTTAAATATCTGAAATAATTTTAAAAGTGAATAATTACATTTTGAATAGTATAACGAATACATGAAAAACGGAAAAAAGTTTATTATTACAATTTTAAAGACTACATGTTAATCGGTTAACTGCTTGGTAGTTCTAGTTAATACTTAACCAACCTAGCGGGCAGACATCTCACTTTTTCCTTAACAATGAATTGCCATTTATTTTGTCATTTAGTAAGTCTTGAATTGAGGATTGCGATTAGATAAGTACCTTTCTTGCAACACAATTTTTAATCAAACAAATTAGTAAAAAAGGTTCTACTTACAGTCTTTTTAGGCGGTTGTCTAAATGTTAATATTACACTTATAAGGAAAAACAATACCCTAAACCTCAGTAAACATGATTAACTGATCGAACCCAATGTTTTGGTATTTTTGTTGTGAATTTTTAATAAAAGTATTTACAACCACACTTGTATATAAAACATTTTTGTTTTAATTTTCAATCATACGATACGTTGATACCGTTTGGTGAAATAAAACTGAAATACTATATGTTTTCTTATTTCTGAGATAATTCTAGAAGTAGTCGCATTACTGTTATTAGGAAAGAATATGTTTAGCACTAAACGTACGAGCACTTTATACATATTAATTCCTACCGTAACTAGTCAAATAATTAATTATAAATCAAAAGTACACAAGTTAGACGATAAATTTCTTTTAGTGGCAACAGACACGAAAGAAAAAACAAAATTTGAGGAAGTGATTAATCGAATAATGTAAGTATTGATATAAAATCAAATAAGTAAAAAAAAACAGAATTCTAACTTAAATTTTTAAAAGTGGTCATTTGATCAGTCGCGGTACGTTTAATGTTAAATCAAACGATGCAACTGACATTTTGAAAATAAACATTTAAAAAACTGGTTATATATACAAAATCATCAAATCAAATATATTATTTAAAATTTCCATTTACATATGCACACCAAATGTATTAAAATATTCAATTAAGTATTAAGATCTATATTACAGTCGAAAATAAATTAATCTTCGCTTAAAGTATTATAGTATATCATATTTAATCAAGATAACACGAAACTGTGAACGACGATTGTAATTACTTTGATCACCACAGACAATACACCTGCTCCGCATTAACTGAAAATGCTAACTAAACTCAGTTTGCACGAGAACTGGGAAAGTACACAAATACCATCAAGGTACACAGAAAGTACAACAAGACGTGTATTCGTATCAACATATGTAATTATTTGTGCACGCTTAATTTATCCCCAATTGACAGTCCCTTTACAGTTCGTATGTACTATGTCAACCTTTAAATAGAGCCTTTATTAATTTATTCAAGAAGAAAATGATAAGACGTAACTAGAGCTTTCAAACTATATAATATGCAGTAATAATGCAAGACAAGTTTTTTCTTGCAGTTACATCAAAATAATGATGTGATATTGAAAAAACAAAATTCTATCGATTATAGTAAAATACAAATTTTATATAGATATTGCCTGTTCGTTGCGAATGAC